AGGTAGACACACTTTTATGGATAACAACTTCTTTAATACTGTAAAAAGAGACGTTTCGGTATGGATCCTTATACCGTTGTCAAGCAAGACTGAATGAGGGACTTAGTACAGAATATATATATATAGTAGATGGAGGATTAACAGTAGAGGATTAACAGGATTAACAGAGGACATGAAGCCAATTAAACAGGATAAGTCATCATTGCTTGATGAGTTCATGGTAGGCCTCCTCAAACAGCAAGCCAACATCGACACCCTGGCACTAAGTGATTTCCACCTGTTTCCTAAACTGAAAGAATACCTTCTTGTCACGCTCAGAAAAACAACAAAATTACGCAATTATTCAACATTACGAAATGCCACGCCTGTCCGAAAATGAGCGTCTGCGAGCCATTGATATGCTTGAAGCAGGATCGAGTCAACGTGATGTTGCAAGACAATTTAACGTCCACAGAAACGCGTAACCAATAATCGACAAAACAACTGGATTCGAACAACACACCTACGAAATCGATTCCAGCCAGCAACAGTGACTGCAAGAAGCATCTCTGGCCTTCGACGAATATCTTCACAAACCGTACGTCGCCGTCTCAGATGTGCAGGGATTGTCGCCAGAAGATCCGCCAGACGTCCCATTTTGACAGGATACCACCGTCAAGCACGTCTACAGTGGTGCAGATAGCGTCTGTGCTGGACGGCCATGCAGTGCGGACAAGTTCTATTCACTGACGAGTCTCGTTTTCACCTCAGCCACAGCGATGGACGGATTCGACTGTACCGACGTCGATCATTGTGTCATGGAAGAAGATCGGTTCGGGGGCGGCAGTGTTATGGTATGGGGTGGGATAACAGCAAGACAGAGGACCCGTTTGATAGTGGTAGAGGGAAATCTCAATGGACAGCGCTACCGCGACAAGATCATCGGCCCTGTTGTTCTACCGGTTTTGCGTGGTCATGACCCAGGCATTACCTTTCAACATGACAACGCCCGGCCTCTTATTGCTCGACTTGTTCAGGATTCTCTTCAACAAAACAACATGAAAGTCATCCCCTGGTCTGCTCGCTCCCCTGTTCTCTCACCAATCGAGCACATGTGGGATGAGATGGATCGGCGCCTTTGACGTCAACCAGGTGTTCCACTGACACTCCAGGAACTTCGAAACATGCTCCAGCAGATATGGACAGATACCCCACTGGACTTGGTGCGACGCCTGGTCCATTCCATGAGACGAAGATGTGTTGCTTGCATCGCAACCAGAGGTGGACACACACGCTATTGATATGCAAATTGTCATTTTAGCATGTTCATGTTTTATTTATGAAATCTGAAATCAGTATGGCAATTAAACCATTTGAACACTTACAGGAGTCTTTTATCTGTTGCAAACCGAAATTGTTTCAGATTTGGTAAAAAACATAACTTTGCATTAAGTCTTTTTCAATGTTACAGGAAATTTTGTTGTTCAGTCTATGTTAGAGACAATGGTAGAAATGCTACATTTTTGTAGATAGCAGTCTTTAGATCCGAGCTTGTGGAATCCTATTTCACTCGTCCTGCGATACGTGTGACAGTCGCTGAAGCCTCTGGAGTGGCGGTTGACGTTGTCTATGGGGGTCCTCCCACAAATGTTCTATGGGGTTAAGATCTGGCCCTTTGGAAGGCCTTGGGAGAACTTTATTGTTCACATTCTGTAGAATGTTAGCTGTGGCACGTGCAGTATGCGTCCAATCATATAATATACAATAAATTTCAATCCGACGGTCAATAATAGGACACCTTTGATGTTGTAAAATCACCTCCACCAAATCGGTCAACTTGGGTGGCGCAGGATTGTTCAAAACGTATATTTTCAAGCCTGTAGACACATTGGCTTTAATTACGGCGTTGAAGCATTTATCACTAAGCCAAACGCCTGAGTTGCAAACTCCAGTTTCCATAGTTGTTGCACCTTTGAACCAGTCGAAACAGCCGTCTCAGCAATGGACCAATATTAGGTCATCTGTCCAACCTCTCGCAAACAATTACGGATCGTCTCTTCTCAAACCATGTACTCTACCAGCAGTCGCCGTTGCTACGACACTCCAGTTACGCAAATGAAGGCACCATGATGTACTGACCCTGAGAGGCAGTGGTGATCCGAGGTCAGTCACTTCCGGGCCGATCTGACGTGGAATTGTATTGCCGATATCTATCCCAAAGACGAGAAATAGTGCTCTGGTGAACATTGAGATGATGCATATGTAAGACTGAGACACCCCAGCCTCTATGGCAATGTTACCATATACAGCGTTGAGACGTGGCATGACCCTATTTTTTTATCCATGGTGGACACAGTGGTTGATAAATGTTGGATTGTAATGCGATTTGAAATAGGCAGTATAGGCAGCTCACGATACCCCTAAATTGCACGTGGATATTACAAACAGTTCTTCCCCCATGACATTGAAGTGCAAATTTAAAATTACAGTTAAAAATGGTGCGTTTTGACACACTGGGTCCTTTCCAAACACAAAGGAGCATTTCGTTTGTAAAAAATCTAACACAATTTCTTCAAAATATTTGGAACTGACTCGTGCCATGTCACCAATGCGTTTATTTCGTGGGAGAGTATAGTTTTATTGTGGTCATGTTAGCATGTGTTGTTTGTCCCAGATGTCGGGGACGCTGCTGGAGGAATATGTACATGCCAACAAGCGCGTTAGGTAGATCTGTAACACAGAAGAGCCATCTTCTCTCTTCACTTGATTATGCTTATTTCTGTGTGTCTTTATCAAGTTCTACGAAATCGTGATGAATCTATTGTTTAAGGGGGTAGGATAAGAATGGAAGACCTTCAAACTTTTAAGTAAAGACATATATTAGTTTAATGTCATTTCTTACGCTGGTCAGAAAGTATACTGGGAAAACGTATTTTACTTAAAACGAATTGATATTTTATCCAGTACTATTTTAGCAATAAATAAAAAGAAACAGTTTTGTTTAGTTCATGTAGCCCTCTACACATACTTTGTACATCACATATCCTTTGTATGTAGTAGATTTGAAGAGGTTATAACAAGATAGGCCTATTTGTGCGTACAAACATATGTATATATTCGTCGTATATTCTAGTACGTACATGTATTCGGTTTATTGTTCTAACCGTGTATCGGGGAGGGTCTTATGTTTATCCAATATTTTGTGCTGAACGTGTAATGTGTAATTCTATCTTTATGTTGCCATACCTGACAACGAACCTTTACTTAGCGTGTCTGAATAGAATAATCAGCTATGAGGGTACAGATGCAAAGACCACGCCAAGCCAAATGGCATACACGGACAATGGAACAATATGACATGTCTAAATATAGATAATAAAGATAGTCAGACGAATTGGTTTCATCCCGAGAGCCAATCAGTGAGACTGATTGAGCTGTCAGTTTTCATTTAGAGCTTAATTTATTACAGCGTTTCCTAGGTAGTGTGTCTCCATGGATATCTTCTATAATTTACGCCATTGTCATAATCAGCTGTCTGATGCAGGGGAACTTGACGACGGATGTCTCAGCCGTTACTGTTTAGGTGGCTGTGCCTACAAGACATGGTTCCTAAAACTAGTGTCTGTTTCTTTTGGCAAAATATTAAACAGTGCCAAAACCTGAAGGACGCGCAAGTGTCTTATAATATGAGAAATGTATTTTGTCTACTGTAAATAAGAGTTCAGTGTCGAACAAAGATGATAATTATTTTTTTCTGCTGTGAAGGATTTATATAACAAATAAACATAATGTACTGTATGTAATGCATGTACTGGGTGTTGAGGTTTGTCTGACGTCGAACTCCGTGTTGCTAGGAATGGGTGTTGAGGGTTGTCTGACGTTGAACTCAGTGTTGCTAGGAATGGGTGTTGAGGGTTGTCTGACGTCGAACTCCGTGTTTCCTGTATTGGGTGTTGAGGGTTGACTGACGTCGAACTCCGTGTTTCCTGTACTGGGTGTTGAGGGTTGTCCGACGTCGAACTCCGTGTTGCCTGTACTGGGTGTTGAGGGTTGTCTGACGTCGAACTCCGTGTTGCCTGTACTGGGTGTTGAGGGTTGTCCGTGTTTCCTGTACTGGGTGTTGGGGGTTGTCTGACGTCGAACTCCATGTTGCTAGGAATGGGTGTTGAGGGTTGTCCGTGTTTCCTGTACTGGGTGTTGAGGGTTGTCTGACGTCGAACTCCGTGTTGCCTGTACTGGGTGTTGGGGGTTGTCTGACGTCGAACTCCATGTTGCTAGGAATGGGTGTTGAGGGTTGTCTGACGTCGAACTCCGTGTTACCTGTACTGGGTGTTGGGGGTTGTCTGACGTCGAACTCCGTGTTGCCTGTACTGGGTGTTGGGGGTTGTCTGACGTCGAACTCCGTGTTACCTGTACTGGGTGTTGGAGGTTGTCTGACGTTGAACTCCGTGTTACCTGTACTGGGTGTTGGGGGTTGTCTGACGTCGAACTCCGTGTTACCTGTACTGGGTGTTGGGGGTTGTCTGACGTTGAACTCCGTGTTACCTGTACTGGGTGTTGGGGGTTGTCTGACGTCGAACTCCATGTTGCTAGGAATGGTGTTGAGGGTTGTCTGACGTTGAACTCCGTGTTACCTGTACTGGGTGTTGAGGGTTGTCCGTGTTTCCTGTACTGGGTGTTGAGGGTTGTCTGACGTCGAACTCTGTGTTGCTAGGAATGGGTGTTGAGGGTTGTCTGACGTCGAACTCCCTGTTGCTAGGAATGGGTGTTGAGGGTTGTCTGACGTCGAACTCCCTGTTGCTAGGAATGGGTGTTGAGGGTTGTCTGATGTCGAACTCCCTGTTGCTAGGAATGGGTGTTGAGGGTTGTCTGACGTCGAACTCCCTGTTGCTAGGAATGGGTGTTGAGGGTTGTCTGACGTTGAACTCCGTGTTACCTGTACTGGGTGTTGGGGGTTGTCTGACGTCGAACTCCATGTTGCTAGGAATGGTGTTGAGGGTTGTCTGACGTTGAACTCCGTGTTACCTGTACTGGGTGTTGAGGGTTGTCCGTGTTTCCTGTACTGGGTGTTGAGGGTTGTCTGACGTCGAACTCTGTGTTGCTAGGAATGGGTGTTGAGGGTTGTCTGACGTCGAACTCCCTGTTGCTAGGAATGGGTGTTGAGGGTTGTCTGACGTCGAACTCCCTGTTGCTAGGAATGGGTGTTGAGGGTTGTCTGACGTCGAACTCCCTGTTGCTAGGAATGGGTGTTGAGGGTTGTCTGACGTCGAACTCCGTGTTTCCTGTACTGGGTGTTGAGGGTTGTCTGACGTTGAACTCAGTGTTGCTAGGAATGGGTGTTGAGGGTTGTCTGACGTTGAACTCAGTGTTGCTAGGAATGGGTGTTGAGGGTTGACTGACGTCGAACTCTGTGTTGCTAGGAATGGGTGTTGAGGGTTGTCCGTGTTTCCTGTACTGGGTGTTGAGGGTTGTCTGACGTCGAACTCTGTGTTGCTAGGAATGGGTGTTGAGGGTTGTCTGACGTCGAACTCCCTGTTGCTAGGAATGGGTGTTGAGGGTTGTCTGACGTCGAACTCCCTGTTGCTAGGAATGGGTGTTGAGGGTTGTCTGACGTCGAACTCCCTGTTGCTAGGAATGGGTGTTGAGGGTTGTCTGACGTCGAACTCCGTGTTTCCTGTACTGGGTGTTGAGGGTTGTCTGACGTTGAACTCAGTGTTGCTAGGAATGGGTGTTGAGGGTTGTCTGACGTTGAACTCAGTGTTGCTAGGAATGGGTGTTGAGGGTTGACTGACGTCGAACTCTGTGTTGCTAGGAATGGGTGTTGAGGGTTGTCCGTGTTTCCTGTACTGGGTGTTGAGGGTTGTCTGACGTCGAACTCTGTGTTGCTAGGAATGGGTGTTGAGGGTTGTCTGACGTTGAACTCAGTGTTGCTAGGAATGGGTGTTGAGGGTTGACTGACGTCGAACTCCGTGTTACCTGTACTGGGTGTTGGGGGTTGTCTGACGTCGAACTCCGTGTTTCCTGTATTGGGTGTTGAGGGTTGTCCGTGTTTCCTGTACTGGGTGTTGAGGGTTGTCTGACGTGGAACTCAGTGTTGCTAGGAATGGGTGTTGAGGGTTGTCTGACATCGAACTCCATGTTGCCTGTACTGGGTGTTGAGGGTTGTCTGACGTCGAACTCCCTGTTGCTAGGAATGGGTGTTGAGGGTTGTCTGACGACGAACTCTGTGTTGCTAGGAATGGGTGTTGAGGGTTGTCTGACGTTGAACTCAGTGTTTCCTGTACTGGGTGTTGAGGGTTGTCTGACATCGAACTCCATGTTGCCTGTACTGGGTGTTGAGGGATGTCTGACGTCGAACTCCGTGTTGCTAGGAATGGGTGTTGAGGGTTGTCTGACGTTGAACTCCGTGTTGCTAGGCATGGGTGTTGAGGGTTGTCTGACTTTGAACTCCGTGTTTCCTTTACTGGGTGTTAAGGGTTGTCTGACGTCGAACTCCGTGTTACCTGTACTGGGTGTTGAGGGATGTCTGACGTTGAACTCCGTGTTTCCTGTATTGGGTGTTGAGGGTTGTCCGTGTTTCCTGTACTGGGTGTTGAGGGTTGTCTGACGTCGAATTCCATGTTGCCTGTACTGGGTGTTGAGGGTTGTCTGACGACGAACTCCGTGTTACCTGTACTGGGTGTTGAGGGTTGTCCGTGTTACCTGTACTGGGTGTTGAGGGTTGTCTGACGTTGAACTCAGTGTTACCTGTACTTGGTGTTGAGGGTTGTCCGACGTCGAACTCCGTGTTGCCTGTACTGGGTGTTGAGGGTTGTCTGACGTTGAACTCAGTGTTACCTGGACTTGGTGTTGAGGGTTGTCCGTGTTGCCTGTACTGGGTGTTGAGGGTTGTCTGACGTTGAACTCAGTGTTACCTGGACTTGGTGTTGAGGGTTGACTGACGTCGAACTCCCTGTTGCTAGGAATGGGTGTTGAGGGTTGTCTGACGTTGAACTCAGTGTTACCTGTACTGGGTGTTGAGGGTTGTCCGTGTTACCTGTACTGGGTGTTGAGGGTTGTCTGACGTCGAACTCTGTGTTGCTAGGAATGGTGTTGAGGGTTGTCTGACGACGAACTCCGTGTTGCTAGGAATGGGTGTTGCGGGTTGTCTGACGTTGAACTCAGTGTTAGCTGTACTGGGTGTTGAGGGTTGTCCGACGTCGAACTCCGTGTTGCCTGTACTGGGTGTTGAGGGTTGTCTGACGTTGAACTCAGTGTTACCTGTACTTGGTGTTGAGGGTTGACTGACGTTGAACTCCGTGTTACCTGTACTGGGTGTTGAGGGTTGTCTGACGTTGAACTCCGTGTTTCCTGTATTGGATGTTGAGGGTTGTCTTGCATTTTTCTTAAACTGTGTGTTTCTGTACTGGGTGTTGATTGGGAACACAGCTGTGCATGTACTGTGTTGTGAAGGTTTCCTGGTTTTGAAATCAGTGTTGCGTGAACTGGATGTTGACGGTTTTTAACGGTGGACATTGTGTTGCTTGTACTGTGTGTTGTGGCTCTACAGTTACTCTGTTTCTTGGCCCTTCTGACTTGTCCCCAAATACCATATTTCTGTTATATCTGTGCCTATGGACAATGTGGTGCCGTTCCTTTCCGTTATCTCGATTTCGGCTTGAAACTTCATTTTCCGCCACACCATTTCTCTCTCCCTGACCCGCACTGTAGGTTAATACAAAAGTATGTATATGCAATTTTGCGGAATGGGAAACATGTTGGTGAGGAAACTATATAGATGCACAGGTGTGGAGATTGATGAAATAACCGTTAGAGCATTCTGTGTAGTAGATGAAACAACAGGGCCACTTACCCACAACGACCCGCCCTCATCGAGCATTTAATAGACATACGCTTCCGTAGGAGAGTGTCATGCAGCTGCTATGCAGTAATCAACATTAAACAATTTCCTCTAACAAGTTTACACCAACAGTTACTCAATATAATGACGTTATCGTGTAGATGTGTCCCGAAGTGACCCTGTCTGTATTAGTGTAACGGAGGATGTGTTCCAAGTACACAGCAGATAACACCTTTACAGTCTAACTACTGCAGATCACCCGACAACAGCCACCGCCGCCGCCTGATAGAATAGAGCGGCATTATATATTCTTAAACACTGTTTTGGATATCATAGGGGAGTTGTTTCTCTAACACAGTAGGCCGCGTTCCATGTCACCATCAAATAAAATGCAGGTTGCAGGTGTAATCAATTTGATACTGAACTAAACTTATAGAGTTATTCTTGGCAGCCTTGACAGGCGATCTCGCGCCTGGTCTAAACGAAGTTTACATTGTGTTCAGAACACCAACAGCAATCTTGCAGAGGGCCTCGATGATATTTACATTGTACCTAGAACACCAACAGCAATCTTGCAGAGATGATGTTTACAGTAGGTTTAGACCAGGTTCAGCAATCTTGCAGAGGACCTAGATGATGTTTACAGTAGGTCTAGACCAGGTGCAGCAATCTTGCAGATGGTCTCGATGATGTTTACAGTAGGTCTAGACCAGGTGCAGCAATCTTGCAGAAGACCTAGATGATGTTTACAGTAGGTCTATACCAGGTGCAGCAATCTTGCAGAGGGCCTCGATGATATTTACATAGGTCTAGACCAGGTGCAGCAATCTTTCAGAGGACCTAGATGATGTTTACAGTAGGTCTAGGCCAGGTGCAGCAATCTTGAAGGGGGCTTCGATGATGTTTACAGTGGGTCTAGAACAGAAGCAGCAGTCTTGCAGAGGACCTAGATGATGTTTACAGGGGGTCTAGACCAAGAACAGTAATTTTGCAGAGGGCCCCGATCAGGAGCATTATTCTTGTAGAGGGACTCGATGATGTTTACAATAGGCCGAGAACAGATAAAGCAATCTTGCAGAATGCCTTGATGATATTTACAGTGGGCCTAGAACAGGAACAGTAATCTTGCAGAGGGCATAAATGATGTTTACAGTAGGTCTAGACCAGGTACGGCAATCTTGCAGAGGGCCTCGATGATGTTTACAGTGGGCCTAGAACAGAAGCAGCAATCTTGCAGAGGGCCTAGGTGATGTTTACAGTCACTGTAGGTCTAGGCCAGGTGCAGCAATCTTGAAGGGGGCTTCGATGATGTTTACAGTAGGTCTAGACCAGGTGTAGCAATATTGCAGAGGGCCCCGATGACGTTAAGTAGGCCTAGCCCACGTTTAAAAGGCGATCAATCAAGTGTATTTAGACCTGGCTTAGAACAGGGTTTAATCTCGTTTGGTACATGTATACCTTCAGCACTTGACAGAGTCCAGTGGACAAAGAGACGTTGATGCCTCTGGATCACACCGACGTGGATGAAAACAACACCATTTCAAATGACATCCGTCAAGCCACCTGCAGTAACTTACACTATGTCAACTTCGTCTGAAGTGCATCAAATTGCTGTGCAGAGATGCGTTACTTCCAGAACCCATGGTTGTTGGTTCGAATCCCCAATTCGGCCTGATTAAGTTTTCTAATGTTATCAACACCAGCACCGACTCACTCACTTACCCCGACAACCTACACTAGAATGGACTAGCGTGTGCGCGACAACTTGCCAGATATGGTTAACTGTATATATAGGTGTTATGTAACCATAATTGGAAACTGGAAACTGCAAATAGAATTTTGTCTGTACTGGTATACGTCCATATTGGGTTGTCAGACTCGTGCAAACAAAGGAACACTATCATCTTCAACTCGATCACAACCGCAGTGTTCCCCGGGAGTTTGGAAGTGATACCTTTTCTTCAATCACGTTTCAGATCTCACACTCACGTCTTCGTGAATTATTTACATTACAGACTACTGAAGCGACGAATTATCAAGTTTATTCGAATATTATACCTTAGCTATCATGGCGTTTACACACCCACTGCGTCGGAGCCCCACTGTGTCTTAGGTTTCACCGAAGGACGTTCTCCCGTCTGGTAACGGAGTTCATGAAAATTAGTTCAAGTATTGTAGCTAGCAAGACACTTATCTTATGTGCATCAAATGTTTCCCGTACTTTGAATGTTTGTTTGTTATTGTTGGTGAACAATAGAGCCTGGACCAGACAAGCCAGTGATTGATATTATGAGCAAAGTCCAAGCAGCAGTCGGGATACGGCGACTCTCAATCAACCAAGCCATCGAGCCTGACCACAGCGATCCATATAGTCGCCTCTTACGACAATCCTAGATTGCTTGGAATCTATTCTAACCCTCACAGCTTTGAAGGTACTGTAGTCCAGGGGCGGTATTCATAAAAGAACTTAAGACTGAAAAAAACCTTAAGTTTTGAAAAAAACTAAGTTTTTTTACCTTTTCTGACTTGAGTTTCAAGATTTGACTTAAGTCATATTCATGAAGCGACTTAGGCTTAAGTTTTACCAATTTCTGACTTAAATCTTAAGACTGGGTAGGGGTAGGCTTAACTACAAGGTGTATGACTTAAGTCAGTGAACAAAATTGCTGCCGTACCGCTAGGTCGTCGTTCGTTTCATCAAAGAAGACAAAGTTTTGTTGAATACAACGATGAGGAGTTGATACGGCGATACCGTTTAGATGGAAATGGTATTAGGTACGTAGCTAATTTAATAGCAGCTGACGTGGAGCCTGCAACCAACCGTAACCACGCACTTGACGAGATACGAAAGACGCTGATCACATTAAGGTACTTTGCAACAGGAAAGTTTCAGTTGTGTAATGCAGATGTCACCCAGCCCACTATTTCGAGAGTGTAAATCAGTGCATCACCAGTTTGTCATCTGACAGGATTGTGAAACAGTTTGTCTGCTTCCCCCTGCAACTCGGGGACATGAGGCGTCACCAAACCAACTTTTATCACATTGCGAACTTTCCCGGAGTTGTCAGGTGATCGATGGAACCCACGTACAAATCCAGGCACCAACAGTAAACGAAAATGAATACGTAAACCGACATCACTATCACAGCATAAATACGCAGATCGCTTTTGACAGCGACGACAGAGTCATTGACGTTGTTGCTCGGTGGCCGGGATCGACACACGATTCACGCATGTTGACAAACAGCGGGCTCTATCAGCTTTTCGAGCTCAATGTTGTCCCCATCGGTCTCATCTCATATTGTCCATAGTGACGACACAGTGTTGCCTGTTTCACAGGAGACGGAGGACCCGACGCACGCAAGGTTACTGGGGACTATTGACATATTGCTGTTGTCTGACGTGGCTGTTGTGTAGGCCTTTTATAATCACTGTCCCGGCTGCCGTGATCCGGCTCTCAATGCAGATATTGAAATGTTGTATGAACATACTCATGGTTTTATAATGACCGCCAACTGCCTTTGCGCAGCGTGTCGGAAAGAACAAACAGATTGTACGTTTTGTAGATTAGCCATCTACTTGCAGCTTTATGGTGATATGTACTCCTTATAGGTCTCCTATAGTGCAGGTACTCCTTATAGATCTCCTATCGTGCAGGTACTCCTTATAGGTCTTCAATAGTGTAGGTACTCCTTATAGATCTTCTATAGTGTAGGTACTCCTTATAGATCTTCTATTGTGTAGGTGCTCCTTATAGGTCTCCTATCGTGCAGGTACTCCTTATAGATCTTCTATAGTGTAGGTACTCCTTATAGATCTCCTATAGTGTAGGTGTTCCTTATAGGTCTCCTATCGTGCAGGTACTCCTTATAGGTCTCCTATCGTGCAGGTACTCCTTATAGATCTCCTATCGTGCAGGTACTCCTTACAGGTCTCCTATCGTGCAGGTACTCCTTATAGGTCTCCTATCGTGCAGGTACTCCTTATAGATCTCCTATCGTGCAGGTACTCCTTATAGGTCTCCTATCGTGCAGGTACTCCTTATAGATCTCCTATTGTGTAGGTACTCCTTATAAAACAAACGCAACAACTCCATCATCGACTAGATATGATATATATGGTCCTGGAGATATTGCTACCCGAAGGGTTTGCGTTAGATAGGGCGAGCGGTGGCCTGTGTAACCGCATCAACATAGACATGTTGGGCGTCAACAAACCTCCGAATGGCACTCTTCCCTGGAATGAAATGGACTATCAACAACACTTTCTTAAGGTGAGAGATATAATGACTGGTAAGTTGTATAGTGACATATCAGATATCTATTTCACTGTCTCACGCTTCGCTACTGATCATCATGCTCTTCACAAACTATGGAACTGCGACCTCCATTGTTGACTCCGCTATAAAGAGTTAAAAGAAGATATTAAATAAATTAGACTCTATTGGAACCAGCATACACGTATATTGTAATTAGATGTAGATGTTGTGCATACCAAGGTTGATGATCTTGAGAACCGTTTAAACTGGCACAGCAGAGAGTAAGATGACACAAACGGAAATAGAAAAGAATAAAATGGACACTTTCTAACCATAAGAAACTTGACAGTGGCGTCGAGACGTTTATGGAACCATAGGAAGGTGGTCAGGTGTGGTATCCTCGTGGTATTGAGAGATAATTTAGTTAGGATTGAAGGTCAGGAGATCGACCTAGACCACTTTCAGTGCGCTCCACTCACGAGGACAACAAGTTAAGCATTTTAGACTGTCAAAAAGTTTGGTATTGGTGGTGCCCAGTGATCTCACCTCACGACAAACAGCCGCCCTTCGG